CAGCTAGCATACTTGCACACTAGCTTAGCACTAGGCAGACACCGCACCCGTAGGATATGAGTGCGAAGACCCGGTCTAGACACGACACTATATACAGGTACAGGTACGTACCTGGGCGTTTTTCCCCGCCCCCCACGACAACGGCTAACTAGAGCCGAGGTCCGAGTCTCAGAGACACCCTCTAGCTGAGCTGACACCCTCAGGTTCGAGTGTTCTAGTGGCTCCAGGCGGAGAGGAGACTCCAGATGCCATCCGCCTGGAATACCTCTAGAGGAACTCGCCAATTCTCGGCTTGAGGTCCCCTTAGGGGGCGTCCATAAATTACGTCAGGTGTTTTTTTGAATTTTCTGACCATCCCTCCCCCCCTGGTGAGATGTCGTGAGATTTTATTCAACCCCCTCCCCCATCTTCCAATCTCACGTGAGATTCTTCAAAATGTCTTTCTTACGTAAATGCGTTGAATTGTTATTGCAAAAAGAAAAAAAAATGCTTCGTGCTTTTATTTACGACTAGTTAAGACTAGTAATCAATATTGCTGAGAGTTATTTCTTTCGAACGAAATAGTGAATGATCTTAATCGTATTACGATTACGCCTTAGATTAAATCTTAAGCATGTACAATCTGGATTAAATGGACCAAAATAGTATAATTTTTTTTTGTTTCAATCAGAAAAAAAAATGCGTGATATTTGACTCTCTCCAACGTAAGATTAGATGAGATTTGACTCGACCCCCTCCGCCCCTTAAACATCTCACGTAATTTATGGACGCCCTCAGGATCTCGCCGTCCCCAAACCCGGTGACGCTGTAAAGGTCATCTGCGACTAGGGTTACCAGATGATAAAATCAAAAATCCGGAGAAAAGGCTTGATTTCCATTGAAAAATCCTGAGATTTTTTACAGTTTGAGAATTTTCTCTCAAACGTACTTAACAATTTAAAAAAGTCGTAATATTATCGTTTATACTCTGTTTATACTTTTAAATCAATATACTTTGAAGAGCTTAACATGTGGAGCATTATATGAACCCATAATTAAAGAAAAAAACCTTACTTAAAAATGTATCTTCACATATTAAGTATGATAAAACTGATTAAGTTAAGATTAACTTGGATATTAAAGTACTGATTTTAATTGTGCAATTATTACCAAAAGAAGATTATTTTTAGTTTGTTTAACTTTTTATTAAAGTGATCTTTAAAACGTAAGCTGTATTCTATTGGAAATTCAAAAAATCCTGAGATTTCATGAGATTTGCAGAATCCAGCCGCAATCCTGAGAAGAGTCCAAAAATCCTGAAATCTCAGGACAAATCCTGAGATATGGTAACCCTATCTGCGACCAACAGCATACACACTCAAGAAATAAATAAATCGCAGTTTCCACCTAGTGCTCATAACATTTCCGAACGGCAACCATACATAATAGCGGCTCCAATTATATCAATGGTACTTGTGTCAAATTTAACATCATCTTGATGCCAGACGCGACAGCTTTGATTTTTTGCGGAAGCCTTGATTGTGAAAAACTGCGTTCGCAGCATGACATAGCGTTAATCTGTGAGCGTAATGGCGCTTACGTGTTATTACATATTTATAAATAATTGGCATCCCTGAGATTAATAATACAGGTACGCATAACACTAATTTCATGTCATTATTAGTTTTTACGGAATTAGAGTAGCTTATTAATGGATGCTTCCATATTGAATTGATTGTGTGAATGACAAGAATAGAAGGTGCTAATAATGGCCTAGCCTAGGCCTCTATGTTTTGCTTTCTTTGTGAATGCTTTTTTTTATATAGCCAGGTAGGCAAATGAGTCTACCCCACCTGATGTTAAAAGTACTATTCCATGCATCGCGATCGATCGCGTCAAAATCATTGTCGAAGTGCTATTCTTGAAGAAGAAGAGAAGGATGACGAGCTGCTGTTGTTATATTATGAAAAAAGAGAACCAATCGACCCTATCTATAAAAGCAGAAATGAAGAAGAATACTAACAAAAATTTGATTCAAAAGCATTTGTATTGTGATGAAAATAAGTTTCCATAAGTTCGAAAGTTTTTTCCTGCGGTCCTAGACATGTTTGCGTTATGAAATCCTAGATGTTGCTGAACGCTGAGCATGTTGAGACACGCACGGCCGCGGGTCTGTTGCAGTCCTCGGAAGCGGTGCCATACATTTTCATACTATGACTATTGTCGCGCGCGACCGACGACAATCGTAGGCAGCGCGCGGCCGCGATCGATCGCGATGCACGGAATAGTACCTTGTGGTGATAAAGTCCAAACGCGAAGATAGCTGGCACAGCAGTTAGAAACTGCCACACCAATCGTCCTCACCTTGCCGGCCTGCGGAAATGCTTATTGAATTGAATCTCCACACTAGTCTAGTGGTGAGGTTTTTATTGGCATTTTTGAGGGCTTCTAGTTTCTTTGAAACACAAGTTATGACTGATGGTGGACCCCGTACCCGGGGAGGCCCCGGCCCATCGGTTAGGTGAGGGGCATCGTCAGGTTTTTAGTGGGTAGGGCCTCCTCTTCTCGAGCAACCGTTGAGCCAGCCCTCCGACTGGCTGAGCGGGTGAGCGAGAGGAGTAGGGGAGAAGTCCCACATAACCTCGCCACACTCAAGGGCGGATCTGGGCTGGGTCCATCTGTACCCACTTCACAATCTATACCCACTGTGACTTGACCACGACTATATGACCCCCCCTGGCGCCAAAACCGGATCCGCTCTTGGCCACACTCCCAAGGCGGTGGGAGTGATATTTTTGGTGTCTTAAGCGTCTAAGTGCTATGGTGGTCACTTACCATCAGGCGGGCTATGCCTGCAACCCTTTTAACATACAAAACAAAAAGATCATTTGCCTCTGTGTACGAAATTTATATGTCCCCATTGACCTTGACATCCGCACATCAACATTGTCATCAGAATGTTTTCTCGACAGCTGCTTCAATAGAAATAATTTGCCCCATGTCTATTCGTATTGCGTCGTTACTTTATCGAATGTAGTGTACCTGGCTGTCTATTACACCGAAGCTTCCAATTTATTGAATACTTACGAGCTTCTGAACATAAGCGATCATTTGCACGAGCGCATTTTCTATCGAATGGACATAAGACACTTTAAGGAAAACTCATAAGGTCTTTTAGAATTATAGACGTATGATAACAATCAATATTTATTATAAGTACATAATAATAATTTAATTCAATTTTTTATAATATTGACATTGTTCATTGAATTTATTAGCTTTTGTTATATTTGATATATTTCGTTATTTATGATTTTTAAATTTTAGATTGTAAGTAAAAAAATTGTATGCCAGAAATGGTAAATGTGCAGAACTTATCTGATAGTACGTACACCTTTATGTTTTTACCGCATTTGTACAAATGAATAAATGAATTATGAATAATATTGAAAACGTTTTTAACAATAAGAAAACTGAAAGTAATGGCTTTTGCAACAAACTTAGAAATTTCCAAAACTCTTACATAAATATTTAGGTGATTCATGAGTGTCCAATCGGTTTGCGTCCACTTCAAGTCCCAGGTGGTCTACTCTCTTTCACCGAAACGAATTTCCGATAACGAAGTTCAAACGAAATTTAATTACTTCATTTTAAGGTTATACTTAATTTGAACGATAAACTTTCAAATTGAAGCTTTCTTTGAGTAGGCTTAGAAAATACACCTCAATCTATATTCCCACGACGTATATTATTATAATTAAAAACGAACCAGAAATGTAGATGGAAAAGTGCGAAGTTTCTTTTGAAATTTCATTTTCGTTGAATATGAGTTGGCCTCCTGGCCTTCAGTCATTTAGTACACTCGTTTAGTCAATCTTAAATTTCTTGACAGCGAATACGAAAAGCATAACTTTAGAATATTTTTTCTCTTCTTCAAAAAGATACTGATAAATCTACTCTATATTTGCGTCTTAAGCTTAGCAGTTTTTATAAAAAATCACAATTCAACATTTGCATTCTAGCTATTGGTTTAATTTTCTGTTTATTTTCACTTGTTATGAGAACATTAATAAAGAATATATGACGACTTATGCTGATGCGAAACAAACAAACGGGCATGAGGCATTTATCTATCTGCAAACGATGTTCATATTTATGTTATACCTCCGTGGCCGAGTGGTTTGTACGCCGGGTTTCATGGTGTCGCCGACTTGAGAGGGTTTTAATCCCGGTGGTAGCAGATGTTTGTGTGATGAATACGAGCATTTGTTCTCCAGCTATGGATGTTTAATATGTATTTTCTATAAAAATATACTTATATATGTACAGTATATGTATTATATCCGTTACCTTAGTATCCTAAAACACTAGCCTTATAGTGCTTACTTTGGGGCTAGGCTAATTGGTGCGAGTGTTGGAAATATTTATTTACTAGCGGCCCGCCCTCGCTTCGCTTCGGTGTAGAGCTGAAGTGTAGACTACAGTTTTTGTTCTCAGGCTTGTATTATACACAATGATATACATCTATGATTCTTCTTATACCTGCATGCAAAGTCTCAGCCCGATCGGATTAAAATTGACATAGTTTCATACAAACTTTCATTCCCTATTTTATCCACTTGGGGGTGGAGTTAATCAAAATCCTTTTTTAGCGGATGCCTGTCATAACATCTACCTGCATGCCAAATTTCAGCCCGATCCGTCCAGTGGTTTGGGCTGTGCGTTGATAGATCACTATGTCAGTCAGTCACCTTTGAGTTTTATATATATAGATTATGTTCTTACAGTATGCGATGATGCTTTTTATTACTAACGTTCGGTTCTCATATTCGGTTCGGTGTGAGTGGCGGTCGTGATAACGAATCAATTTATGGTGTCCGGAGAATAACTAACTAACCATGCGCAGAGGAAGGTGCTGCGCGTACGGCTGTGCGCACGCGTAAATCATATAATAATTATTTATCTATACTAATTACAGTGTATTCTAGTTCTATGTGCGTGCGTGATTGTGTAAATTAGCCATGACTCGCGACAACGACTTCATTCGATCTTGGGTATGTAAAGCTATTTTATAAAAAATAATAAAAAAAAAAGTTTCATTCGGTTTTGTTTAATTTTGTACGGTTAATTATGTTTCGTGTACTTTTGTGACCATCTGTGGATCTCTTTTGGTATAATTTGAAAAGTGTTTTTTTTTAACTTCGCAAAAAGGCATTTTCTCAAATAACTGCGTAAGATTTTAATGCGTGATTGGTTCTCTACATTACGAAAATATTGAAGTATGATTTTAGCACCTTAACACAATTACAATCGCTATTTTACTGCGTAATTCATTCTCATATTTTTAATGCAAATTAGATTTTAGGTTCTAATCATTTACCGGATATTAAAAATAACTCTTGCGTTATCTCTTCCTGAATATAAAATGTTTGGTTACGCCAACTTTGGTAACTTAGTGGTAATCACTAAAGTTCATTTACACTTATTTACATTATAATAAAACTAAATTAAGGATGATATATTGTTTTAAACTTTCATGGTCACTAACATTGTAGCTATTAACGGGATTGTTACCATGTACATTGTTTTGACGACCTCCTTGGCCGAGTGGTTTGTATGCCGGGTTTCATAGGGTCGCCGACTCGAGAGGTCCCGGGTTCGAATCCCGGTGGGGGCAGATGTTGGTGTGATGAATACGAGCATTTGTACTCCAGTCATGGATGTTTAAAATGTATTTCTATATAAATATACTTATTAATGTACAGTGTATGTATTCTATCCGTTACCCTACTATCCCATAACACAAATAACACAAGCTTTATAGTGCTTAGCTTGGGGCTAGCCTAATTGGTGAGAGTGTTGGAAATATTTATTTTATTTAAGGATGGTAAACAAGCTCATAGCCTCTAGGCGCTATATACGTTATTTTAATTTGCAATATCGTAAAGTATCGCATATGGCAAAATTGCAATATCACCTGCCTCCCAAAATGCCCACCTAGATACAAATAATAATAAATAACTATTACCAACACTCACACCAATTAGCCTTGCCCCAAGTTAAGCACTGTAGGCTTGTGTTATGGGATGGTGGCGGACGGTGGATGGCCAAGGAGGTCGTCGAGGAAGATATAACTATAATTTTTATTATTTTTAAAGCATGTAACTGCTTGATGTTTAAATCTAAAGAAAATATAACTAGAAAAAATTCCACGCGGACCAGGCAGCAGACGGGACTCGAACCCGCACCCTTCGCAATCCGGGCGAATGCACTGACCAATTATGCTACCGCGGCCCTCACGGACCGCGTCGAAATTCCTTCTAGCTATTCTTAAGCTGCAAGGCAGCGCCATCTCTTCGCATTATAGGTAAACCCACAATGTCAAATGAATACTTTTACAAGTATTAAACATTTGAAAGAAGAAATAGCAATTATAGTTATAATTTTTATTATTTTTAAAGCATGTAACTGCTTGATGTTTAAATCTAAAGAAAATATAACTAGAAAAAATTCCACGCGGACCAGGCAGCAGACGGGACTCGAACCCGCACCCTTCGCAATCCGGGCGAATGCACTGACCAATTATGCTACCGCGGCCCTCACGGACCGCGTCGAAATTCCTTCTAGCTATTCTTAAGCTGCAAGGCAGCGCCATCTCTTCGCATTATAGGTAAACCCACAATGTCAAATGAACTATGAAGATATAACTAGTTTTTATCACGTTTAATTGTCAAAGTACGATGACAATTAGACGCGATAAGAACGTGGTATAATGTTTATTGAGAAGCTTATGCTTGTAGGAAGGCCAAAGGGGAAGATCTTCCTCCGAACTGGGTGATGGTAGCTCGGGGGCCGCGGCCCGACTGATGTTGGTCGGGCATCGTATATATGAAGAGTTAGCTTCCGAATTTCATTTGCGCGATGTAGGCTTCCATACTATTATTGATCGCAGTGCAGGTAACGCCATCTCTTGAGGATGGTGAGTTATGATTTCCTCCATCCAATGTCTATATGTGGGGCATATAGATGTCGCCGCCACATGCTAGAACGACTGGCCTGCCCTAACTTAACCACATCCCTAATCCCGTGGAGCCCTGAAACCTTACTCACAAACATAATAAATAAATAAATAAATAAATAAATATTTCCGACACTCACACCAATTAGCCTAGCCCCAAAGTAAGCACTATAAGGCTTGTGTTATGGGATGCTAGGGTAACGGATAGAATACATATACTGTACATATATAAGTATATTTATATAAATACATATTAAACATCCATGACTGGAGTACAAATGCTCGTATTCATCACACAAACATCTGCCCCCACCGGGATTCGAACCCGGGACCTCTCGAGTCGGCGACAGCCATGAAACCCGGCGTACAAACCACTCGGCCACGGAGGTCATCCAACACTACCCCAAAGGTAATTTTGTTTCACTGTGTATTTTGAGAAGCTCGATGACGCAGATAGTCAGCGCGTTCGGCTGCGATCGTTGAAGTTATGCTACTTTCGTAATGGTCGTCATTGGATGGGTGACCAAAAATCTTCTATCTCGAATTCCTCCGTGCTTCGGAAGGCACGTTAAGCCGTTGGTTCCGGCTGCATCTGCAGTTGTTAGCACCCGCCAATCCGCACTGGACACGCGTGCTAGATCAATGCCCAATCTCAGGACCGGATTTAGAGGTCCAGAGGCCTCGGGGCAACAGAGGAGCGGAGGCCCCCTCACCCCAAATTATTTTCCAAATAAACAATTTTTTTCAGTCGACTTTTTCAATAAATAATTTATTCTGAACCAAGTAGATTCTCTTAGTATTGAACAAACACTTATAAATATAAACGGAAACAAGAATTGTCTGAAATTAAATCTTAGAGTTAACGAACGGAACTCGGGAACGGTTGATGATTTCGTTGAAATCGAGTTCTCGGAGTAAATGTAAAAGAGCAAAAAAAAATATCAAAGGAAAAGATGTTTACTAGTGGGAATTTGAAAGATTTTTTTTCCGAAGTCTTTCCGGGGCTTTCGCCCCGGTTGCCCTTCCCCTAAATCCGGCAGTGCCCAATCTCCCTATTAATACATTAATAGGCTGATGATGATGTGTGTTACTTACCCAAACAGTCACCAATTCGAGCGGATAATCTCTACAGCTTATCCGCTCGAATCGGAGACCCGTTTGGGTGACCTAAACGTGATAAGGATTATCAAATTTTCGTATTAGCTCATATCAATAACATGTGATGCGTTGTGTTTTTATCGCTACTGAGGATTTTATGCTTAGTAGATTATTCGGGAATGGATTCTATTCTATAGTATTCAAGGTGAACGACAACGTTATCTACTTATCATAAATTATGTTGTTACAAGTTTTACTATTGGTTAATGCGTAATTTAAACTGCTTTTGTTGTCAGAAGAATGTTAATGATAATTCGTTAAATTAGTTGAATACCTAGCTTTTGTTTATGCCGTAGCTATAGATAGTTTTTCTTGATTTAGTTGTAGGTTCAGGAGATAATAAGTGCGCTTTTGAGCAGCTAACCAATATATATACCTAGTCAGGTCATAAATTCTGTCACATGTTTAATATAAAATAATTGAAACAAGTTTATTCATTATGTAACAATTTATATACCAAAATGAACTTAACAAAACATAGATTCTTATGACAATAAAGTTTATTCAAAATGACCTCCGTGATTTTGAATACAGGCCTTCAATTTGCGCGGCCAGTCGTCTATCGCAGCACGAACGAGGTCCATGTCAATATCGGCGGCTGCCTTAACCAAGGATATCTTGAGTGACTCCAAATTGGGATGAGGCTTTGAGCACGCCTTTTCCTCCAAGTGTTGCCATATCTTGTAATCTAACGGACTCAAATCTGGACTGGAGGAGGGCCAGTCTTCGTGCCGGATGAAGTCGATTTCACGCGCAACCAGCCAGTCTTGTATGCTCTTCGCTCTATGAGCTAGCGCCGAATCTTGTTGAAATACCCAGTGCCTGTTATTGAACATGGTATGGGAAACAGGTTCCACAAGGTTCGTCAGGACTGTATATTGATACACACTGCATTCGTATATACATCTTTCTCACAAAAATGTACCTCTGTCGAGCCCCAATAAGAAACTCCCAACCATACCATGAGGGAGGATGGACAATGACCTCGTTGGACACGCGGAATACGGTTGCTCGCTTCTTCACTACTGTGTGCGTACACGTTATCATTTTGTTTGTTATAGCTCTCTTCTACGGTAAAAATTTTTTCATCCGAAAAAAGAATTTCCCGATATTTTTTTCCCGCGTACCGCTTCAACAAAGCGCGGCATCTCTTCAGTCTCAGGTCCATTAGACGAGCATTCAAACGATGTCCTGTTTTTCTTCAATATGCCCGAAGCCCTAAGTCTTCATTTAACACCCTTTTCACCGTGGTTCTGCTTAACCCCATCTGCAGGGCCAACAGTTTCTGCTTACGTTTGGGATTTCTTTGAATTCGCGCCTTCACAGCTTTTATCACTGCTGGAGTCCTAATAGACCGAGGGCGACCACTTCTTGACCTGTCCTCTACACTAGAGTCTTCATTGTATCGTTTGATGGTACGATAAACGAATCTTTTGGTTATATTCAAATTTTTCAGTATGTGTAAAATTTGAATTGGCGCGTAACCGCAACGATGCAACGCAATAACTGCAACACGGTCTTCTTTAAGCGTCTACTCCATATTTAAAAATGAGTAAAATTCTTAAAAGTATACATTTTTATTTTCATGAACAATTCGAAATTCGAATCCAATAAACTTTTTTTGTGGCCAGCATTCTACAAGGAAAGTTTTTACTGTGTGACAATACTTATGACCTGACTGTGTATATATATAGCTTGCCAGATGGCCGGAAAATTCGGGATTTTCCCGGAAGTTTGCGTCTTATCGTCTTGTCCCGTGTCCAGTAATTAGACCGTATTGTCCTAGTTTCCGATAATATGCTAGTTTTGTAACAAAATAAACTAATTTGTTTCTTAGGTTTTCACGCACATCACTCATTAAATAAAACTAGTTTTTAC